ATAGTTGTCTTATTAGAAATTATACTATATCTTCTTATGCTTATAGAAATCACTGATAGTACTAGAGAAAATAAAAAAAATGGTATAATTTTTCATTCAAATGGTATAATTTTTCATTCAAATGGTATAATTTTTCATTCAAATGGTATAATTTTCGTTCAAATGCAATATTTTTTATTCAATTGGTATAAAATGTCATTTGAATGCAATATTTTTTATTAAATTGGTATAGTAGTTTTTTTTATTTATATGCAATAATTGCATTATGGGAAATTCTTTGACGTCATAAGGTCAAATTTGCAACAACGTTTGTGATTGGTCGGTAATTGTTTGGATTTCTCCCCCTTTCTTTCTAAACTTGAGTGACCAAGAATTAAAAAACGCGTCAGAATATCGCCCCCTATAACTAAATTTGGCGTTCGTGCGAGTTCGTGCACTGGCTGTTAATGCCAATAATGGCCAGGACGAGCAAAAAATGCGAGTGACAAGTAATAATAATTAATTTGACACACAACTTGTTCATGGATAGAAACAGATGCCTGCGTGCATGGCAAAACACCTCCAATGAAAACCTTTTCTGAAGAAACTCTCCTACAGTCTACACATTGAAATAAAAAAAATACATAGCTAGCCCCCTCCCCCTTCTAAGTCCAGATACATGTAATCATGACGTTCTTTAGTGCTATATCATTTTTTACTCTTCTTGATCCTCAGAGACGTTGCAGGAAGGCACACATGAAAAAAGAATAAAAAGCATCCAGGACGTTACAATTATTTGGACTAAGCCCCCTCTTTTTTACTACATGTAGAAAAAAAATCACCTAATTACGACAGCAGAACCAGAAACCCACAAGTAGAGACATAAGCTGTTATACCCCGGAACTAATTCTTTAATAAAGACAATTCAGGATAAATTGGAACCAGTCACTAACCCATGTTACAACAATAGTCCTATGACATAGGACTTCACTATATGAGGCGTGAACTTCATATTTGATACTATCTATAATATGTGCTCTCATGTCTTATGCTGCAAATCATTTTACATTTAGGATTCGTTGCTGAGCTTTTTTTTTTACTGTTCTCGTCTCCGAATCCCTTAAATAGATTTTTTTCAAGCCCCACAGTAGTTCAATAATTACTATATGTCTTTGCATAAATAAGTATGCAGGGCATATTTCAAAACATATTTTATCTTCAGGACTTTTAAATGATTTTCTTTTCAATACTGCATTGGGAAGGGGGTATACAAGTTTATTTTGTGACATATTATATAATATAATTAGGTATCCAACAAATTATATGATTGTACGTTTAGCTATTATCTAGACCCGTACAAAATGTATATAATTAGACACATTTAACAGGGGCGGATCCAAAACCTCGGTGTCTATGGGGGGGGGGGGGGGCGGGGGGGGGGGAGTAGGTTCAAATTTAGATATTTGTATAGAGATGTATATATGCGAGTATTGGCAGTAATGGTTATGGTGTGTGTGTGAGGGTAGGGGTTTCAGATCAAAAGATCGTTTCTATTACTCTATATCTTTTAGTTTTTACCATTTCACTCTATTCTTTATCCTTTGATCTCTATTATATTTGTCATAAACATGCGTGACATATTTGCCACTGGACATAAGGCAACCAAAAGTCAATCAACGTATTCTGTGTATTTCATCATTTCTTTATTATGTTATCCATGTTATCTATAGGTTTGGTCCCGCCCCAAACTATTTGAATAAAGTTTTTTATCCTTCATTGATTTTCTGATGTCGTCCCTTATCCTCTCTATGTAATCCCAATTCCTGTCCTGATAAATGGTGACTCATGCATAGCGTCATATGTGGTTATTAAAACAAGAAACATATTCATATTATAATAATTAATGTATGCTAGGACTTATAGATAGATGTCATTAGTCCCAGGTCATGTAATAAAGAAGGTCTTATAAAAATACAATAGCATTTTAATTTTGATGATTATATATAAATTAATTTTATATATTTAATAATGCCATTTTTTTGGAAAAAAGGGTAGGGCAAGGCGTTTTTAAAACATATCAATGGGGCGCGTTTTTTTTTGTTCTTCGGAAGTGAGCCAGAAGAAGTCCATTTCTGGTTTTTTTTTGCATTGGGAAGATCTTCTGGCTCTCTTCCCCCTCTTTTTTTTTGATAAGTTGACGGCAGAGGCACATAACAAACATGGCGTCGTTTAGTCTAAAGTGAAATTAATAAATATGAATGCAGATATATTAGAATGTGAGCTGTTTTATAAACGTTTTTATGGTATGACAGCCTTAGTAGGACATCCCTGTAGGACGATAAGCTGGATAAATATAAGAACTACACGGACAATAACAGTTAAGGGACGATATTTGATATTCTAGGGAAGGGATTTTGATTGATTGGTGTTTAACGCTACTTTCAACACTATTGGGCTATTCCGTGGTGGTCAGTTTAAATTTATAGATGAAGGATGGGGAAGGGAAGAGAGGGCATTATTATTCATTTCAATCTGTCGCTAATCATGCCTATTTTTCAGCTCTTTCCAGGCAACCATATTCATATATGAAATCCTTCTGTCCCCCACTCCAACAAATAAATAAATATCAAATGGTTTTCCTCTTATTTAACACAAGTTTAAATTGATTGATAATTGTTTGTTGCTAATTTTAACGCCCAGTGAAAATTATTTCATGCTTGTTCAGGAAAACACGAGTTTAGAAGTCACGTATATAATATAAAAATGAAGAGATGGAATATGATTGCTAATAAGGCAACTATCCACCGGAGTTCAAATATGAAGTGGATGTAAGCAATTATAGATAAGATAAGATAAGATAAGAAAAATTTGTTTTAAGTCGGGTTAAATGAAATACTACAAACATAAGCTCTGTAGAGCTTTTTGCCGTCATGTAGACAAATGCTTTTTGTAGACAATCGTAAGGCCTTCAACAATGACAAAAACCTGATACTGTAAAGTCGTCTATAAAAGGCCCGACATAAAAAGTGTGAACAATTCAAACGAAAAAACTAACAGCCTAAGTATACATAACAAAACAATTTACAAAATATCAAATATGAGTCGAGACAGGAACCAACGACAACCACTAAACTACAGGCTCAATCCCTGGGACAGGCAAATAAAGAATATGGCAGGGTGGATATAGAAACGAAGATGTGGTATGATTGCAAATGAGACAACTCTCCACAAGAGATCAAATGACACAGAAATCAACAGCTATAAGTCACCGTACGGCCTTCGACAATAAACAAAGCCTACACCGCATAGTCAGCTATAAAAGGCCCCGAAATCAAAAATGTAAAACAATTCAATCGAGAAAAATAACGGCCGAATTAATGTACAAAAAAATGAACGAAACACAAATATGTATAACAAAGCAACAAACGACAACCACTGAATAACAGGCTCCTGACTTGGGACAAGCACATACATACAGAATATGGCGGGGTTAAACATGTTAGCGGGATCCCAATCCTCCCCCTAATCTGGGACAGCGGTGTAACAGTACAACAACATGTTTGTGAGCAACCCATCCCGAAGTTGGGACAGTGGTGTAACAGTACAATACAATAACAACCTGCACTAATCAGCAATTTAACTCAAAAGATCGGTACGAGACACACAAAAAAACTAACATTAAGACAATAGACACAAAGCACCGACATAAGAGTATTTGCAATTACTGGAAGTTTGCTCAAACCTTATTACAACTGGTACTGAAATAAATCTTGTTCTCCCAGACTGAGTTATCAATCAGTACACAACGCGCGGCAAAGGATTTATTAAAAAAAGAAAACAGTCTGAGAAACGTCTGGTTTACGTTGTATATAGATATAAGAAGATGTGGTATGAGTGCCGATGAGACAACTCTCCATCCAAGTCATAATTTGTAAATGTAAACCATTAAAGGTCAACGTACGGTCTTCAACACGAAGCCTTGGCTCAAACCGAACAGCAAGCTATAAAGAGCCCCCAAAAAATTAGTAGTGTAAAACCATTTAAACGGGAAAACCAACGGTGTCTAATCTATTTAAAAAAAAACGATTTACTTGCATATAAATCCATATACAATGAAACGGTTTTTGAAAAGTGGACCGAACGTTTTGATCATCGAAATTTTGCAATAGAAATACTAGTTATGACCACAAGATTTTAACAGCCAGTGCAGGACTCGCACGAACGTTAGATTTAGTTAGAGGGCGATATTCTGACGCGTTTTTTAATTCTTGGTCACCCATGTTTAGAAAGAAAGGGGAGAAATCCAAACAATTTCCGACCAATCACAAACGTTGTTGCAAAGAATTTCCCATAATGCAATTATTGCATATAAATAAAAAAACTACTATACCAATCGAATAAAAAATATTGCATTCAAATGACATTTTATACCAATTGAATACAAAATATTGCATTTGAACGAAAATTATACCATTTGAATGAAAAATTATACCATTTGAATGAAAAATTATACCATCTGAATAAAAAATATTGCATTTAAATGAAAAAATATACTATTCAAATAAAAAATATTGCATTTAAATGAAGAGATATACCAATTAAATAAGAAATATTGCATTTAAATGAAAAATATCAAATTTTTGCAAACATTACCATGCCATAGTCGATATTTTAAATGGCAACTGAAAATGTGCCTTTTCTTTTTTGTACATTTTGTATCTGTCTGTTAAGGTTTTAATTTGAATAGGGAGATTTAAATTCCAGGTGGATGCATGGTAGGGACAGTTCTTGGAACACTTGTAATTTGATAGATAAAAGTTTTTTTAAAACAATATCATGAAAATATCAGAATATTCAGTTATTCTTTAACTTTTTTTCTCAGTTTACTACAAACAAAATATTACATTTCAAACAATAGTAAATATACTGATTATCTGATTCCGTTCATCATTGATTGTTTCATTTTCAAACATCATCGAATTAGAATGTTGTTATTCAAATATTCTTTATTCATCTTGCAGGTATTAATCTTAATGATCACAGTATGGCGCAGATACCGTCAAGTGCGGGACATGTAAGTATTTTAATTTTGTAAAAATCATGATTTTTTTTATAAAATTGTTCAATTTAAGGAAACAGTTATGAATCACAATTCAAGTCTATTCGTACCTTTTATCTTTCAAAGTCAAATCAATTGACGTTTTCATTTTTCCCGATTCTGTCAAATTAGAACGCTTTATGTTATAAAAAAGAGTAATTGAGGTATGATTCAACAATCCAACGTCTAAAAATATCAAAAACTTTTTTGGCAGATATAGTAAAGAGAATTAAAACTTCTAACTTTTGAAAGGAAAATAAGGGTGTTCCCAATGCTTAACTTCTTTTATTCAATTGATAATTAAATTAGCATTGCAATCATTGTTTGAACATATGTTTTCATGCAGATAATTTGTGTTATTATATATTTCAAAGCTTCCTTTATGCAATTTACTTGTTTAAAAAATAACAAATTACGGAAGCATATTATAATTAGCGCCACACATTTTTTTTTATATTTCTTCCTATGTGAGCGTTATAACGCAAACCTTTGCGAATAACGCAAACCGTTGCGTTATAACGCAAACCTTTTCGACATAACGCAAACTTTTTGCTTTATAAAGCAAACAGTTGCGAAATAACGAAAACATTTGTTTTATTTATTTTTGTTTGGTTTCAAAGGAAGCAGCTGTTATAAATGGAGGAGGCTGCATATATTAAAATTTATCACCCTTTGTACTTATTGCAAAGTAAAATGCTTGAGTGTTTTCCTCACATCATGGGATAATAATGAGCAGGATAATACATGTATATTTATATTACAAACAAAATTGAGTAAATTGAAGTTAAACCGAAGAAAATAAAAAATCAACCCCGCTAATGTAGCTGAATCTAAATATATTTCCAAAGTAAGCGCTCGTTTGAGCATTGTGAAAGATTGGTTAAATCCAAACAAGCTACCAGTTTGCAATAAATGTATAAGATGAAGATGTCATTTTATTATAATTATGTTCTCAACATTCAAATTGCTACCCAAGCATCTTAAATAGCTACCCCAGAAGATTGAAATTAAAATTCCATGACTTTTTTATCAAAAGAATCTTTATCATATTCTGAAATTTCAACAAACGATTTCTTACATCAAAATTTTCAAAATCTTTCGATTAATATTTGCGTAATCCATATCTCTTTTCTTGTGAAATTTATATAATTTTCTGATACAAAAATCATTATTAATTTGTGTATAATTGCACTTCAAGTATTTCTTTATTTCTATGAATATTTATTATAATGATTTGGCCTTGTGTTCATGGTCCTTCTCTTAACAAAATAACAACCGAAATTTGATGAAAGACGGACCTGGAAATGCCGACATTTACAAAACACTGCTTTCAAATTATATCATAAATGTGAAATGTAAACCCAATACAGTTTTTGAGTATAACATATACAAAACTTAAAAGAATAATTGAAATCAAAATGTTTGCGTTATTTCGCAAAGATTTGCGTTTTAACAGGTTAGCGTTATTTTGCAAAGGTTTGCGTTATAACGCAGATGTTTGCGTCATTTCGCAATGGTTTGCGTTATAACGCAAACATAGGAAGAAATATAAAAAAAAAAATGTGTGGCGTTAATACGTAACGGTAATGAATATATATCAATCATGAAATTATTCCTAACAATAAGTCCGCATATGCCGTTGTCAATAAAATTGAGAATGGAAATGGGGAATGTGTCAAAGAGACAACAACCCGACCATAGATCAGACAACAGCCGAAGGCCACCAATGGGTCTTCAATGCAGCGAGAAACTCCCGCACCCGGAGGCGTCCTTCAGCTAGCCCCTAAACAAATATGTATACTAGTTCAGTGATAATGGACGCCATACTAAACTCTAAATTATACACAAAAAACTAAAATTAAAAATGATACAAGACTAACAAAGGCCAGAGGCTCCTGACTTGGGACAGGCGCAAAAATGCGGCGGGGTTAAACATGTTTTTTGAGATCTCAACCCTCCCCCTATACCTCTAGCCAATGTAGAAAAAACAAACGTACAACAGTACGCACAGTAAAACTCAGTTCAAGAGAAGTCCGAGTCCGATGTCAGAATAGGAAACAAAAGAAAATAAACAAAATGACAATAATACATAAATAACAACAGACTACTAGCAGTTACTGACATGCCAGCTCCAGACCTCAAATAAACTGATTGAAATATTATGTCTTCATCATATGAATATCAGGCACAATCCCTCCTGTTAGGGGTTTAGTATTATACCGTCATATAATATATGAGAAAAACATAACCCGTGTCATGCCAACAACTGGTTTTAGAATAAATATGTTTAATTCCGATTCAAAGACCCTATAAGTGAATCAATATTAAAGCCAAAATATGCAATCTTTAATGACCTGACAACAGTATCGTAACTATATCCCTTCTTAATAAGTCTATTTAAAGGGTTTGTTAGCTTTTGAGGTGAATACTGACATTTTTGTGCTTTGTAAAGAATATTACCATAAAAGATTGGATGTGAAATACCCGAACGTATAAGATGTCTGCATGTTGAGTTATATTTACGAATGATGTCCTTATACCGATGATAAAATTTAGTAAATGTTTTGACTAGTTTATGATATCGAAAACCTTGGTGTAATAATTTTTCAGTAACACATAAATTTCTTTCGCTAAAATCTAATACGTTGTTACATACACGAGCGAATCGTACAAGTTGAGATATATAAACACCATAAGATGGTGACAAGGGAACGTCACCATCTAGAAATGGATAATTAACGATAGGAAATGAAAAATCATCTCTTTTATCATATTTTTTTTGTATTAAGCTTCCCGTTAATGATATAGATATCAAGATCGAGGAAAGGACAGTGGTCATTGTTAGTATTAGCTTTATTTAAAGTAAGTTCAACAGGATAAATTTCTTTAGTATACATACTGAAGTCGTCATTATTGAGAGCCAATATATCATCCAAATATCTAAAAGTATTGTTAAATTTTTGTATCAGATGTTATTTTGATGGGTCTTTGCTAATTTTAGTCATAAATTGTAACTCATAACAATACAAAAACAAGTCCGCAATAAGTGGTGCACAGTTAGTCCCCATTGGAATTCCGACAACTTGACGATATACGGAATCTCCAAAGCGAACAAAAATGTTATCAAGTATAAATTCAAGGGCAGATATAGTATCAAAGCATGTCCAATTGACTTAGCTCTTTTGTTTGTTGCTACTGAAAAATGACCTAAAAGAGTTTGAACATATGTATTCAATGTAAACATCAACGACGTCATAGACAAAATAGGGATCTTGCCATTGCACAAGGTCATGTTTTTCACAGGCCTTTAATTACGTCTTTACACTTAATCCATTGAATGTTACACATGAATTTAATGATAATTAGGCTTAGATTCATGATTTGTTTAATCGTTGTTATTGGCTTTAAACTAATTGCCAGTAATTGCGTGTACTCTTGAGATCTGTATTTCGTGTCATTTTTTGTTTGGGGGACTTTAAAATACCCTGCAACCTCCGGTAAGTGTTTTTGATTTAAAATTTTTCTGCTTTGTATCGATCTGATGAGTAAAGTTACGGAAGCCCACTTAGGACCTCCCAAAAATATATATTTGAATTCGAAATAACGAATTAAAATCGCTTTCAAGAATTACAGATTAAATTCGTGATAACGAATTTCCGGAATTAGTGATAACAGTTTTTGTTTTCGTAATTACGAATTAAATTCGTTATCACATATATTTGTAATTCGAGATAACGGATTAAAACCGTAGTAACGAATTTTATAAAGGGTGATCACGAATTGTTTTAATCGTTATAACGGATTGAATTCGATATCACAAATTCGTAGAAATAGTTATCACATTTTTTGGTAATTGGTGATAACTGATTAAAAATCGTAATAATGAATTTTATAAATAGTTATAACGAATTAAATTCGTTACCACGAATTTTTAGAAATATTTGTAACCAATTTTATCCGTTATCACGAATTATACAATTTGTTATAACGATTTTATACCATTTTCACGCATTATAATAATCTGTAATAACGAATTTAATCCATAATAATGAATTATAAAATTCGTCATCACGTTTTTAATCCGTTATTACGAATTACAAAAAAATGAAATAACGAATTTAAGCCGTTATTACGAATTATAAAAACTGTTATAACTAATTCCATAAATTCGTGATAACGAATTTAATCTGTGATAACGAATTCTACAATTCGTGATAACGATTTCAATTCGAGATATCGAATTCAAATAATTTTTAGGAGGTCCTTCATGGGCTTCCGTAATCTCGTTATTGCGATTTTAAACCGTTATCACGATTTACAAAAATCTGTGATAACGAATCACGTTTTTAATACGTTATTACGAATAACAAAAACTGTTATAAATAATTTTATAAATTTGTGATAACGATTTCATTCTGTGATAACGAATTCAACAATTCATCAAAACGATTTTCACTCGTGATATCGAATTCAAATAATATTTGTTGGAGGTCCTAAATGGGCTTCCGTAGTTGGGTGAGGGATAACTAAATCTATTTTGTAAGACGTACAATGCAAAATGTAAGTGTCGTGTGCAATTTTCTCTAATTAAATGACTATTAAATGGAGTTACCAATCTCTTGTTTTGTATGCCTCTGTTCAAATCTTTGATGAGTTTCTCCCATGCATTAACCATCAACGACCATAACTATCAGTACGAGTAAAATCAACTATAGTCAAGGTCAATTGTTTTAAATTTTCCGTCACATTTTTGTAAATTTCCTTATTATTTCCTCAAGTGATTTTCGATTTGTCATCCCTAAATCAAAATGTAGTCAATTTCAAATCTATCAAAGGCCATAATTACAGAACAAAACTGTATAACGGAGTCCAAAACCAAAGTGTTGCGTGCGGACGAAGGTGTATGAAGTTGACTCTACACCCACACCATATTGGGCGGTGGTAAAATGGATTTTTTAGAAAAAGAGAGGCAAAAG